TGGACTTCAACTCCCAGAATTCCCCAGCCAGCATGGGAATTCTGGGAGTTGAAGTCCACCCGTCTTAAAAGTTGCCAAGTTTGACAAACCCTGTGCTAAAGCATCCAGGCACAATGCATTGCAGAGGTCACCCCTTCCTACCACCCAGATATTAGCTCCTGAAGAACTCTTCCTTTTGACTCTATCATGAGATTTCTTCTCATCTTACAGGATTTCAGTTTTTTTACATGTCCTTACAAATTCAGTAAATTGGCAAGGCGTTCCATAGACTGCTTCCCTAAGAGCGACCGAGAAGGTCTTTTGCTTCATCATTTTGAACTTCCCCACATGGCTACAATAGCAAGCCATGGCAGCAAGCCATGACAGCAAAATGGTGACAGGGACATCATTACATCATTGCACAAATGGTGCAAGAATGCCATGATCCAAGTCCATAACTCGTGCCATTTCTATCATGACAAACGTCACTTGTCCCCTGCAGACACAATTATGGCATGTAATGCAGGAAACAGCCATTCCAAACTGGAACAGTATTAACTTAGATCCATCTGAATGCAAAGGTTAGGTTTCTCCCATACTTGGCTTCCAATCTTCTTGTCTGTCACAGCATCCTGAGGAGGATAAACATATCTAAATATCTGAGCGTGCACACTGAGAACTGGTTTAATGCCACTGTCCTCCAAATATTTTATTTAAAAACAAAACAATACTCAGATGGAAGCAACCTTGCTTCACAGTTGTTTTTTTTTCAACTCAAACACTTCTCTTTCAGGCTATGGTCCTAACCCTAATGCAAAGCTTCAAGGCTGTTTTCTTTTCTGTTACTGAAAATTCATGGACGTGCCATTTGGACTTAGGGCATGAACCCTTTTAGGTCTCTGCTGCTTAACTGCTCTGTAATGATTATTAAACCTCCATTTGTCAACACATACAACAGATGTGTTTCCTCTTCTCCCAAGGCATTTTTTTTAAAAAAATCAGTATCATTTTTGTGTGTGATTCAAAAGCTCAGGACCTCAGGGCAAATCTTCGTATTCAAAACTGGTATTTGCCCATTACTCAACCAAACTCTGACCCAATGCCTGCGTCCTCTTAGTTGAAAAGACTACTAAGAGTTGTGGCTATCTACCCACAGGAGTATGAAAAAAGTTTCACTTATCCATTTTAGAAAGTCAGGAAGATAGTACAACGGACATTTCAAGACATTTCAAGTTATGCATTCCAGTACTCTCTCTCTTTGTAGGTCACCGGTACTGCCTCTGTTCCCCCACCCCCAAGGTAATCTATGATTAAGTACCCACTACTTCTGGGTCACAGAACATGAACTTTCAGTCTGCTGAAGAGGTTCTATATGCAGACCTATGACTGCCCCATATTCTCGATGTTATCTTCAGGTGGCTTCCCATGGCTTCACTGTCTTGGGGTTGACCAGCCTAGATCACTGAAAGGTCCCTCACCTGTTGCTGATCTTGGTGGGGGGCCACAGGGTGTGCAGAGGTCAGAATCTGTATCCGACTCACCTTCTGCAATGTAAGGTCTGATTTTGGCCACAGCGGTGTAGCAACCATTGTTAAGGATGTCCAAATTTTCTTTGGACTGGGAGATGCTAAAGCCGCTGAAGGAACGCTCCAGTTCCTCATGGTCGACAGATGGGATTGAAATAGAAGTGTCACTATCTCTTAGGGCACTCTCAGGATGTTTAGCAGTAACATCTTCATTCTTTGCATACTCAGCATTGGCCCTGCTCCCCCCACTGTAGGCGGATAAGGAACGCTCATGTGAAGGTGGTGGTGGGATTCTAACCAAAGAGCCAGGATCACCAACTGGGGATGTCCCGTGACTTTGACGTTGATATTGCTGCCAAGAAGTGGAGGGGGGGCATGAGTTGTTTGGCATTGTTGTGGCTGGTGGTGCAGAAAAATTCTTCTGTCCCATTGAACTGGTAGAGCGAATGATCTTGATAATACAGCCGTTTTTATCAATATGTTCCCGGCTGTCCTCTGGGCTATGATAAGGTGGTGCTGGATCAGGTTCTTTGGAACCAAAATAGGCTTCTGTTTCAGTAGGTGGGATCCCCATCCGTTGCATGTAGATATTGACCAGGAAGTCCAACTTCTTCTCCATGGACAGAACCTGGGAAATGCCCCACAGACCCCAACACATGATTAGCCAAATCATTTTAGACCTCAGCTACCTTGATTCATCCACAAAGAATCTTGTGGATAGTGCAAAGTTTCCTAAATATTAACAACTGTCAGAGTGACCTAACAAACTTCTAATTTCTTCGGGGAATATCCAAATTAAGGAAATGTCATAAACTCTTTCACATCTTTTCACTAACGCTCAGCATGAATTGGTTTAAAAAATATTAAGTCTAACTCACATCTCCTGTTTGCATCAAGCCAACCTTGGCTAATGGGACCTAGCTTGTACTTGGAAGGGAGACCTCTAAGGAGTAGTTGTTGTTGTTAAAACTGAGGCAATAACCAGCTAGCAATTATTATTCCAACAGGTCTTCTTTCCTCAACCTGGTTCCTTCCGAGCATTTTGGATTTCAGCTTTAATTCCCAAACAACATGGATAAAGTCAAAAGCCTGGTTGAATAGATGTAAGTTAAAAAGCCAATATAGCTTTGGGATCTGAAGCTGGAGAATATTTGTACACCTACAATATATTAAATGCTTAGCTTTCAAAGGTTAGAAACAGTGAGTTGAGGGCAAATTCAACTGAATAGTCTTAGTGTGTTCAAAATTCCCAGGTCCAGTCAACATCCTGGCCATCTCATTTGGCATTAGCAGATTCTGAACACTTTTAAAGACCAGCCCCATAAAATATGCATTATTCCACTCCAACCCAGGACATGAGTGGCTGTGACTCTCTGAGTTCTTCTGGATGGACCATATTTGGAAAAAGGTATTTCTCACTCCATGCCAGCCCTGACCAAAAGCACGTTCTCAAACTAAGCAATCTGACCACTTAAAAGGACCTCAACCCCATCTAACATGGGTTATATACTCAGATAGACAATCCACCCACCAACCTGAAGGTGAAGGTGAAGAAGGGAGAGAGGAGAAAGAGTCCTCTGCTTCAGTGTCTGAGTCCCCATTTCAATACATTTCAACAATTACATTGTAGGAACTTGACCTTTGTAATGTAGGAATCATACCTGCTTTTCTACTTTGCCAAGTCTTCCCATCATACTTGGATCTTCTGGAAGTTCCCCTTCAGATGGGCCTTTGGTTCGGTCTTTATCCGTCATTGATGGTCCACGCCCAACAATCTGGTCAACTCTGTGTGCAGCACAGGCCCCACCCAGGGAAAAAAAAAAAATCAAATGAGCAAACTACAGTCAAGAGATCAGACCTCTGTCCTTATCTTTCAGAAGTTAATATATATGTTCCATCAGCTTTTCTTGTCTAATGATTAACAGAAATAGCAGAAGGCAAATAAGAATATACTCAGATGCAAACTAGCACACATCTTTATTTCTGCTTGTATTTTATAGTTCAAAACACTCTATTCCCCTTTCTCGAGATTAAATCTGGCACAATATGCATAGTAAATTTGCCCCTTGGGAAAAACCTGCTATCAAACATTGTAT